GGGCAGAGAGGATATCTGCAGACTCTTCCCATCCTGGATATAAACTGTTCCAACTTCTTCTGTCAGGATGGCGCTACAGAGCACCATATGTTAAAACATCTAGACATCGGAATAGTTTTTTCTCTTGTGCCATTGCTCTGTTAAATACCACATGACTCGATATGTGCTGGACAGTGGCTTCTCCCTTTGAAAAAGTTATTTTACTGTGTAGTGTTATTGTTACTGTTTATTATTTTCCTGTTGCTATCCAAACGCACCGTTGATCTTGCTGTTCGTCACCGAACACAAATTCCTTGTATGTATTTTATACTTGGTCATTAAAGTATTTTGTATTGTATTTGTATTTGTATACTGTATAGTTCTGGGCTGTATTAGAAGAAACGTTTTATCAGAGAAACATGGTCTTTACTCCTCTCTATTCAACACTGATGAGACAACTCCTGGAGTACTGTGCAGAATTCAGGGCACCGCATTTTCAAAAAGATTCTGACCGATTAGAGAAAGTGCAGGGAAGTACATACCCTGCGAGGATAGGCTGAAATGAACTTGGGATGTTCAGTCTAAAGAAAGAAAGACTAGGGGAGACATGATGGTCACGTACAACTACATAAAGGGGAGCTACAGGGAAGATGGCCAAGAACTCTTCCATGGCAACTGAAACTAGGACCAGGAAAAAAAATGGGTAGAAATTGCAACTACCCAGATTTTGTTTAAATTTGAGGCAAACTTCCTGATGGTAAGATCAGTACAACAGTGGAGCAGCCTATCTATGGAGACTGTGGATTCTCCATCTCTGAAGGTTTTTAAGAAAACCTTTCATAGATGGTTTAATTGGTTTTCCTGCATGTTGCAGAGGGTTGGACTAGATGATCCTTGTGGTGCCTTCCAAATCTACAGTTTTATTATTCCATAATTTACCATGCAGAACTCTTCCAAGCCTGTCAGCCCAGCTGATCAGTAAGGGGGCAGGATGAAGCAAGAGGGAGCACCCCTGATCCCTCCTTTATGGCTTGTGACATCCATTGGCCTCTTTCTGAACATGAGTCTAGTGCTCTTTTGAAACATTGCTCAACCCATGTCCAGAAGAACCTGGTGGAAGGTTGCAGATACGGAGGAGAGGGTAAGAAGAAGCTGGAGCACCTCCACACCTTAGATCTATTCGTTGGACAACTTCACAGGTGACTAAACCTGCTGTCCAGTGAACCCACCAACACTCTCTCAACCACAGATTAAGGGGAGGGATTAGTGGTTGTTCTTCTTGCTGGCAGAAAATGCTCAGCAGGAAGGGAACAGCAGCCAGGGGAATCCGCCAATCATTTCCTTACCTTATCCAGTATGAAAATTATAAGGACAATACCCTTGTTCTCTGGCCTCATCAGTGAAGCGAAAAAGATCTTGGCCATCGGGGGAGAAAAAAAAAAATTTATGCTTTTTTTTTTTTTGCTGGCTCAAGAATTAGGGGAGGCCACTTTGAAGTGACTGGCTGGCTGTTCCTCAGTGATGCTGGGTTGTGGTGCTCGGCCTACTGTGGGACTCTGCCCATGCACCGCTCCTCTCTCTCACGCCACCCTGTGATCCTGCCGCTCCCCGTGGTCAGGTATCCACTCACCAAAAGCTCGTTTCGGCTGCACCAGGCGCAAAGTAAATGGCTGCGCCTGGGGCATCTCGCGCAACATCTTGGCAACTTCGTAGTGGCGGCATCCGACGATGGTTTGGTCGTTAATGGCTTCGATGCTGTCCCCGACAGACACAGTTGGAATGCGGTTGATTATGCTACCTTCCTTAATGCGCTATAAAATGGGGAAGTAGAAAAGGGAAAACTCAGGTTGGAAAGAGAATAATTCCCCTACCTATGGCTTTCATGACCTTGACTGATCTTGAAAAGCTAATAAGGCAGGGCTGTCTACAGGGCACGGTCAAAAAAGTCAAAATGGCAGTCACAACAGTGCGATCGAAGTTCTATCTATTTTTTAAACAAGCAAAGCTTTGATCGCACCACGGTGGCAGCCATCTTGACTTTTTGGACCATACCCTGTGCACACCGCTGTAAGAAGGGCTAGAGCTGAGTACTATTTGAATGAGAAACTATTAAGAAATAATAAGGAAAAAGGGCAATTGTGTTTCTTGCAGTAGCACAAGGCTTTCCTTCCCACTTCTGAATAGTTACATGTCTTTGAAATTGGTTTTAAGCATTCTGGTATGGGAGTGGTACTTACCATCTTAACCTGGCCTAAGATCTTCCATGCAGACCTGAATTGAGGTGGTCTGACTCAATGACTGGCTTATCTCCAACTGGCCTGGAAATTGTGCTGTGGGAATGGCCCTTTCTGTCTGGCGGCTTGGTAAAGTGCATGCAAGGGAGACTAGAAGTTCAGCTTTGGCAGCTGATGTATTGACTATATTTTAATGAGAATATCAGCCTATTCACATACAGCAGTGTTTCTCAACCTGGATCACTTAAAGATGTGTGGACG